TTAGAAAAAAAAAAGTTTATTATAACTTAAATTATGGCATACCAAGTTATTTTAGGTATACTAGGTTTCCTAATATGACCCCATTGATACATGAAAAAAATAGCAAAGTATCAATAATATATTATAATTCAGATATCAGGGTTAGCTTTATTAATTAGAAATAAAATACAATATAAAATTTATTTAGAATCTATACAGTTAAACTTTTTTCTATATGTCTCGATGATCTAAGAGTGCATGTAACAATACAGACCATATCGATTATTATTATATTCTACATAGCGAAGATATAAAAGTTAACATTTACACAAGAGCAAAAAATAATTTAAGAATTGTCTACTACAATTCTGTTAGCGGAATTAAAATTTTACATAAATGTCTATCATTTGTCTCTAATGAGAATGTTCGAGAGAATGTTCGAATCAAGAGATTTCCAACAACATTGGGCTCGGATAGTTCCAAATTCAACTTTAATTTTGTCAACATCGACATTTTTAAGAGCCTTGTGCAGCTGGCGAAGTCTCGGCCCAGTTCTCTTCTTCCCACTCGGCCTGCTCTTGAGTCATAGATACCTGGCGGCTTAAGACCTGATTTTGTTTACGCCATATTTTATTTTTTTTATTTGTTAATCTTTAGTGTATTGGTGTTCTCATATTATCACTAAGTCCAATATTTGCTTTAATATTAGTTTAAATTACACTTTATTTCAAAGACAAATTTATCCAGTCGGGAAGGATATGAAAAGTAGCCATCTTCATAATTATTGTCTGGAGGAAGTCTGTCTGGGAAAATAACATTGTAGGGAATACTGATCCAAAAAAGGAGATCACATGGTTTTCCAGTTATTTCATTCTCCGTTCTGATTGCAGTTGCGACCGGGAGAAATTTTTATCCCTATCCGCACTCACAGACCAGGCGTGAAAAATTCGGTGTACAAAAGAGAATTATACTACTTGCAAATAAAATCTTCCTTTTCAAGTTGAGCAATTATATATAATATTCTTTATTTTTCCATAAACACGCGTTTTATAAGG